TTTTGTTTTATTTTGTTTTATTTTGTTCAAGCCAAGCCGGCTTGCTGGAAAAGCCAACTTTTTAGGGTGCGTCGGAAGGACCGGAGGTCGGGGATTAGACCGGAGGTCGGGGGCAGCTCATTCCAGAGGGAAGGCGCTCCCACAGAGAAGGCTTTCCCTCTGGGGGTTGCTAGTTGACACTGTCTGGCCGACGGCACCCTGAGGAGGCCAACTCTGTGGGATCGCATTGGACAGTGGGAGGCAGTAGGTGGTCTCTCAGGTATCCTGGGCCTAAGCCATGGAGTGCTTTAAAGGTCATAATTAGTATCTTGAATTACATCCGGAAGACAACCAGCAACCAGTGCAGGCCGCCTAAAAGGGGCGCAGCATGCGAGCACCTAGGTACCCCCATGATAACCCACACAGCCGCATTCTGTACCAGTTGACGCCTCCGGGTGCTCTTCAAGGGCAGCCCCATGTAGAGAGTGTTACAGTAGTCCAGGCAAGAAAGGTATTTCCAGAAAATGAACTGTAACATTTGATGATGTCATGCAAGCTCAGCCAACAACATTGCATCATTGGCTCAGTACATAGTACAAGCATTCAACAAGAACAAAAATCCATATGTTATTTCACTGACAACAAATAACTTTCTGGATTCCTAATGGCATAATGGCAATCAAACAAAACTCCTGCTACTTCTTTCACCGTTCTCTCTCTTTCTTTTTTTTTTAAAGAAAGGAATTACCTTCACTACATCCAGAGACCTGACTTCCATATCTATGTTCTGCTGGCAGTCTCTTTTCTCCTAACAGTTATTTTCTACATTGCATTTCTTTCCAAAGGTATGTGTTTCATAATTTTGTTCTGTGTTGAGTAATCCTTGGCTTGGTCTCCTTCAGTTGGGTAGAGAAGTGTATGTTGTTATTCATTACAGAGTAATCTTAAACTTCACTGAAGCATTCCCAAGGCAAAGACCCCATGAAGCCTTGTACAACATAGCTATCATTTGCTGATCCTTCTGCAGATCATCATTTCTGAGCTGATATGGCAGAAAGCCAAAAGGGTTGAGGATCCAAGGAATCCTACTGGATTCATGTTCCATTTGGGGGCTTTCTGAGATGATAACCCTTGAAGTGAGACAGTTCCTTTGAGAAAATAGATGAGAACACTTGAGTCCTGGCAAACCTGCTATAGCTTGCACAAAAACAGCTTTCTAAGAGAGGCTCCACCCCAAAAGATGTGAGGCTATCTAGTTTCTAGACAACCAAGAGACGTACAGTTTGAGACTGGAAATCAAGCAAATTGGAGAAAGGTTGATATACACTGACTAGACAAGCCACAGAGTTTTGAGGAGGAACTTTTTCCAGCAATTTAGCTAGAGATTGTATTCTGCCACTATCCTTCCTTCCTATTAACATCTTGACTGGGTAAATTGTAGTTAATTTGTAAGCAGACTGAAAACACTGGAGCAGGCATGTCTAACCCATGGGCCATGGGCCCTGTTACCCTGGACAGCTAGAAATGTGGCCCCACAAAATCATAAACTTTTATTTCTTAACATCCGTTTGAACCTTGCCCAACTACGATGAATCAGAGCTGCCTATCTCAGATAACTTCAACATGAGTTTCCCTTTTCCTACATTTATGTTTACTGAGTTATTCATCCATCCGTTGATAAACAGGTACCTGAGATAACACCAACTTCTTTCCCAAACAAAGAATAGCCTTGTGTCAAAACTCTTTATCAATGTATATTCTTTCTGAGAGAGATTTTCATACGGTAGATAGACTCATGCTGCCAAATATCTGTGAGTGCCTTCTTTGAAATGACTTTTCTGTCATTTTGCAGAAGTCTGTTTGCTTAATAAGGGATTTATGACCATAACTCCTCTTATTTTAATAGCATTTCCTAGCTCTATATTCCACTGATAATGGTTTCTTTAGATACCAAAGTCAGAATTAGGACCTGCAGTGAAAACATCTCTTCTATCCCACCGGCTGATGTTTCATTCACTCAGAATTATTTATTATTTATCAATAAATTTTGTATAGCTGCCAGTTCACAAATGTGACTCTAAGTTGTAAAGCAATAGAAGAATAAAATACAAAAAGGATAAAAATGGTAAAATCCAGATTAAAAATTAAATATAAATAAAGTAATAAAATAAAAACAAATATTCAAACCCTAGGCAAAGGGAGAATAGGCATGGGCAATGGAGCCCTCTGAGCATTTATCCAGTTCCCTGGGAACCCCAGCTCCCATTACCTAACTAGATCTTGAAGCACTTCTTGAATATCAAAATGGAATGGCCCAATCTAATTTAGAGGGAAGAATATTCCAGAAGGTGGATGCCATAGAAGAGAAAGCATGTTTCCTGCTGGGACCCATCCACCAAATGTAGGTCCTTAGTTGATGGTATTCGCAACATGTTGTTTGACAAATCAAATGGGCAGGTTGATGTAATTGGGGAAAGGCAGTTCCCCAAATAGCCTGATCCCGTGCCATGAAGAGCTTTAAAAGTAAAAAACAGCATCTTGAATTGGACAATAGTGACAGGCAGAAGTAAGCGTGGTAGGAACTAAGGAATTCTTCCCTCCTTTAAAGGAAGAAGATTCGAAATCTAAAGCCATCACTCTGCTAAACAAATAATTCCCTCACCACTATCAAACTATTGACTAAGGCTGCATTACTATTACTATTAGTCTTCTCATCATTCCTATCACCCATCTCCTCCCACTTATGACTGCGTGATTGTAACTTTGTTGCTTGTATCCTTACGATTTATATTGATATTGATTGTTTCCTGATTGTTTATTTGTACCCTATGGCTATCATTAAGTGTTGTACCTTATGATTCTTAATGAATGCATCTTGTCTTTTTATGTACACTGAGCACATATGCACCAAAGACAAATTCCATGTGTGTCCAATCACACTTGGCCAATAAAGAATTCTATTCTATTCTATTCAATGTCTATTTTTGACCCTTTGGTCAGAGACAGTTCACTAGACCCATAGGATCCAGCTGCTGCTTTTAATTCCTGAAATACTTTTCTTCATCCAGACCTTGATGGTGTTAGTTGTTTAGTTTACTTTAATAATTAGTCCATGGACAATATCAAATTGCAGAGTTCCAAGAACAAATTATTACTAAAATCTGATAAAAATAGAATAAAATACAATTTAAAATGAGATTTGAATTGGAATAAAATACAATTTAAAATGAGATTTGAATAAAATACAATAATTTAATATATGGATAAATAAAATATGGTAAAATTATATTTCAGTGTCACCCCTAAAATCTACCCCAATCAGTCCCACATATGCCGATCTCAACCGAACCATTTTGCTCAAGTAATGTGCTGTATTAAATGTTGTTTCTGGCCGCACATGAGGTAAATTGTTTTGCTATGGAGTTCCCAATGGATCATTCGTTTAGTATATAGACCAAGGTACCTGTTTCTCACCCTCTTATACAGGCAACAATCAAATAGGATATGAGCCAGGTCTTCTATCTCTGCCACTCCTCAAATGCAGAGACATCCTTCTCCATTGAGAAGTGGAAGTAAGTTCCTGTCTCCCAAAAATGCCCACCTGGGAATTGAGATTGGCATCAACTATGTTCCCAGGAAAGCAGAAAAAAAGGGATGACAATTGTTGCTCAAGAAGCTCTGCAAGTTGCCAGAACCAGAGATAGTCTTGTTTTTGAGCCTGGGCAGTCATTTGCCCTGGAGTGAAATTGTCTTGTCACTCATCTCTGAGGTTAATTTCCCTCTGTGGATGTTTAAGAGTCTGGGCACAGTTGGCTTATGTGTGATGCCTCAATTTCTAGGATCAATTACTTGTTGATGGAATCATCTTTCACTCCTCCAGTTGAAATGGTTATGTCATTGATTTGAACAATGGGCCCGTTATCCACCCAGTTCCTAGCCTCACCAAAGGGCACTGCTATTACTAGGAGATCCACTGCTTTGGCTGGAATGAGTTGTCAATCGGCTATGGCCAGGCTGCTGCTCATCTTGGAATGCTTCCAATAAATAGCCTGTGCATCTACCCTCTGTAGGCAGAACTCTGCACCATGGTCTTGTATGGCAGCATCCTCAATTCCTATAACAATTGCAAACTGTAGGAAATGTGGGGGCTCATAAATCCTACAGACCATCTTCTTGGTCTTGAACGAGTCATTATGGACTGGGTCCATTCATCATGCTAAGACATACACAGGAGCCCTGGTGTGCAGTGGTTAGAATGCAGTATTAACTCTGCCCACAGCCAGGAATTCAATCCTGATGGGGCTCAAGGTTGACTCAGCCAAACTTCCAACCTTCTGAAGTCAGTAAAATGAGGACCCAGATTGTTGGGGACAATATGCTGACTCTTTAAACTGCTTAGAGAGGGCTATAAAGCACTGTGAAGCAGTATATAAGTCTAAGTGCTATTGCTATCATCGTTTAGAAATTCCCAGAGCTGGGATCTTGCACAGCCTTAAACCATAACAAGCTAGACATGCAAACCCATCATTTTTAAAGTGTGAAAAGTTACCGAGTCTAAAATGCTGACCTTCCCTCCCTTCATTGTATTTTCTTCAGCCACAACTCTTTCATCAGAAATGAACAAAATAAGTAAAAGTATGCGTTCTTCACTAGCAGTGGATGACCTTGATGACAAATGTAAGTCTTGATTATAAACCCTGCCTAGTTATCTTCCTAGAGTTCCCGGCTATAAAATGACAGCATTATTTCACTAAGTTTTCTGGTCTCTAAATAATCACAGCTTTATGATTCCTTTCTATTGTTTTCTATTTACTACCTCTGCTTTCTTATTGGCACTATTTCATGAAAGGAAAAAGAGAATATACTGGTGGATACCGGAAGGGCCATGGCTAACTCCGAGAACTAGGTGGAAGGGGTCTTCTTACCTTTACATTTTTCTTGTTTATAAGAAATTGTAGAAAGTTGGGCAGCAGACTGGCACTTCATCTGCATTGGTCTTTTTCTCATCCCTACTTAATAGGAAAGGAATGGAGTTAGAACTCTAACTTTAAAAAAAGATAATACATATTCTTCCTCATTGCAAGGACTATCTCAAGGACTGCAATTGGGACAGAGATGATAAAGTGATGTCTCCAAAGGGGGAAAATGTATCAAGGGAGACATTTAGTTTTCTAGGTATGTTAACATTTTGATACTTATCACACCCCCTTTTTTGTTTGAAACCCACTGGAAAAGTCACACCTCATTTTCCAGTTACAGGTAGTCCTTGAGTTACTACCAACCATTCATTTAGTGACTGGTTGAAGTTACTATGGCACTGAAAAAATGTGACTTATGACTGTGCATGCACACCAAAAACCCAGAAGAGGAACGGGTGATGCCACGCATCCCTGGTAACATGGCTTCGTGTGCCACTTTGTCCACGTGTGCCATAGATTCATCATTATGGCCCTAGTGGCTCTTCTCTAATGGACATAAGACAGTAAGACCTTAAGAACAAGAGCTCTGTTAGAACAGGTCAAGGCCTGTTTTGGTTCAGCACTATGCTTCTCCCAATGGCTAAGCCAATTAACCCAACAGGGGTAGGAGTAGAAGGTGGTAATGTACCTCTCTCCCATCATGATTCTCCTGCAATTGGTATTTTGGCGGCTTAAAGAAACTTGACTTGTTTCTGATTAGTCAGCAGTTTGAGATTCAGCTTGTGGCAGGATGGGAATTTATTTTGCCATGACTCTCAGAAACTGGCAGCCTAATTAAAAACCTAGCAAGTCAGATGTCTCCAGGTCTTTCATTGCTTGGCAAGATCCGAAGCGTGCACATCCAAACATGTACAAGCTGTATTTTTTTAAAAAACCCCCCCTTCATTTTATATATATTCTATCCTTCTGCCCCAAAAGTTTCAGATTGGTTCTGGCATTAAGTGCTTGGTTGGTTGGATCTGCCCAAGGAAAACTTAGAATTCTGACTCAAAAATGGAGATGGAAATTGCAATTGACCAAAAGTCATAAGGATTGCACATAGGGGCATGTATAAGTACACCAGCATGCCTAATGTCCCTGTCCTAATGTCCCATTTATTTGTACCCATTTCATGTGTTCTTATTCATGTTTATTCTTATTCCTGTTATCTGGTACATGAGTGACAAACTAAATAAAATAAATAAATAAATAAACAAATCAGGATTCCAGTTTGAATAACACATTCTCTCTCTCTCTCTCTTTTTACTTAACCAGTGTTCCCTTGTGGTCCTAACTATCCACAGTGGGAGTACTTTAATGGGAAATGTTATTACTTCTCTCTGGACACGGTTCCCTGGGGAATGGCCCATGATCGATGCAGGAACAGTCGTGCCCAACTGGTTGTCATCAACGATATGGCTGAACAGGTAACAAGAGGGGGCTGTGGTTGCTTCCTTGGAGAGCAGACGGGTCTCATAACTATGAGATATGGAGAGTATGGAGGTTAAGAAGCTTCTCTGCCATGTCTATATGCAAGATGGATTTGGACTAGGAAGACACAAGCATAAATCCCCACCCAGCCATGAATCTTAGGAAGTTATCTTGACTCAAATGTATCCTCTCAGCCTAACCTATCTTCCTGCAAGAATAAAATGAAAGGGGAGAGAGAAAGCAAAGAACCATAGCGACCATCTTGAGTTTCTAAGAGAAAGAGTGGCAAGCAAATTTTATGGCAAATAAGTGGAATAAATAAGACAAAATTAGTGGAAGTCAGGCTACCTAGGTGAGACATATGGCTCAAAGGATCTATGGATGGATGAGTGGGTACCTAAAAGCTTACAAAAGCCATGGCACAAAAATCACATCCATATTTTTATAAAGGCTAAAGGTTGCATGGATGGGCAAACGTTTTGCTCCAAGGGAACACATGACATTTGGCAAAGATGGAATCGGTAATGTGCAGCAGTTGTGCATATGGTCAAAACTGCCCTCTATAGAGATTCTCGGTCATCCAGGTCATGGTTGTCCCAAAAGTGTTTCCCAAAAGGCAACTGGACTTTCTTTGTTTTTTTCCCTGGAAGACGTTTCACCTCTCATCCAAAAAGCTGAAGAACTTAATAACAGATGAGCAGAATAATAGAGTTGGAAGGAATCTCAGAGGTCTTCTAGCTCACCCCCCGCCCTGCTCAAGCAGGAGACCCCGTGCCATTTCAGACAAATGGTTGTCCAGCCTATTCTTAAAGGACTGCAGTGTTGGTGCACCCACAACTTCTGGAGGCAAGTCATTCCACAGATTAATTGTTCTCCTTATTTCTCTAAGGAGAATTTTCTCCTTAGTTCTAGGTTGCTTCTCACCTTGATTAGTTTCCATCTGTTGCTTCCTGTTCTGCCTTCAGGTGCTTTGAAGAATAAATTAACCCTCTCTTCTTTGTGGCAGCCCCTTAAAATATTGGAAAACTGCTATCATCATACTATATCTTGCTATCAACTGAAGAAGCTTCTTGGATGAGAACAGAAATGTCTTTAAGGAAAAAAGCAAAGACAATCCAGTTGCCTTTTGGAAAACATGTTTAGATCAGAACTATCGTTTCCCTTTTCTCCTATCTTAAATTAAAATCCTAAATCTTTTTCTCAATCACACATTTTGAAAAACAGCATTTTCGCACTCCCGGAGGCTTGAGGAAAGCCTCCAGAGCCTGGGTAGAGCAAAAAGCCCCCTCCCCCTGTGGTGCAGGAGACTGACTAGGCCATGCCAACCATGGCCATGCCATCCATGGCCATGCCAACCCAGCAACCAGGCAGAGAACCCCTTGCTAAAAATTTTGAAGTCCACCCTTGCAATGGATCTGCATGTGCCCTTTCCCCTCATTTGCATGGAACCATCCTTTCCCCCACCCCAGGGCCAGTCCTCAAAGCCGGAAATGTTGTGGAACTCGGTCTTGATTGGGTTTAGAAACCGCAAAAGCTCTCCACATGTGCAATTGCCTTTGTTTGCTTTTGAGCTTCCAGATGACTTCATTTTAGGAAACTGATCCAGCCCAAAATGGATCATTACAATCTAACTATCTTCTATTCAAAGTTCTGTACTTTACCCATACTAGGCTAAGCTAAGGTCACCTGTGCATCTCATGAAGCAAACTGCAGCTTTTAAATAAAATGGGTGAGTCAGAAAATTCCTGATTATTTGCCAACATGTAACACACAGCTCTCCTCCTATGTCAGCAAAATTTCTAGTTAATTTTAGCACAAATGTTCGTTGCTACCAATCACTGCTGGACCTGTGCTCTTAGGAGGTATTCACCTCATTGGAATATTATTAGAATATTAGGCACCAGAGAGATTTACATGTAGCCTTCATTTAGTGCAGCGGTCGGCAACCTTAAACACTCAAAGAGCCACAAAGGTCCTAACCAGAAGCCCACCCATTCAATTCTGGAGCCAACTGGAAGTCCAGTTCCCCCACCATAGAGTCTCCTCCTAGCATGGCATCTTTTTTCCTCTATCTGTCTTAACCGAATGCCCTATCAATTGTGGAGCCGATGAGTGACAGGGAGCCACAGCAGAAGGATGAAAGAAACACATGCGGCTCCAGAGCCACAGGTTGCTGACCCTGATTTATTAACTGCCTCATTTAGCAACCGTTCACAGTTACAGCAGTGATTAAAAAGTAATTATATGACCAATCCCCACATTTATGACTGTTGCAGGTCTATAAAGGGAAGTTGAAGTAAGATCATAAGCATGGTCAAGGTTTCACTTAGCAACTGTTTCCTTAATGGCTGAGTTATTGAATCCATTTGTGATTGCTAAACAAGGACTACTTGAACTCTATGTTCCATCTTTTTAATTGAAGATTTCAATTCTGGCTGCCTTTGCTTTATCCGTTCCCATCAAAGCAACAGCTTATACAGCATCCAAGGTAGTCAGACAATGTTTAAGCAAGAGTAGAGAATTTCTGGACATCCAGCAGTTGCTGAACTCTATGATTCCCATCACCTTTCACTATTGACAACCTTCCTCGAACTATTGAGAGTTGTAGTTCAACCATGCTAATCAAGGCATGGTTTTCCTAGCCCTATCTGTTGTATGAAGTGCTACATCCTCTCCCGGGATGCACCATTTTATTTTCCTATTTTGCACCAATCACCCTGTAGCCTCTGAATATATATACTCTTTAGTGGCAGTCTTTGAAAATTTTTGTTGTTCAGGCTGTTCCTCTCACCCTTTTCTTCTTCTCAGGTTTTGTGTATGTTGTATATTTGTGCAAAATGTGGATTCCCTCAAAGATTGTTTCTTTATTATTATTATTAAAAAAAATTAATTTTTAATTTAAAACAAGTACAACATCT